ATATTTATTTATAATTAATCGTAATAAATAATAATAAATATTAATTATGGTTATAATTGGAACATTAAAACGCTACTCCAAGTAGCGTTTCAATAAACAAGTTTATGTACATACAAATATATATCCAAAAAATAAGTTAACTTATAAGCTAGCTTATTTTTTTACCAAACAATGCCTTAAAGAATAAAGATGCACATAAAACCAAAAATCAAAGCTCAACCAGGAAAACCTCAGGCCTAGTAAGCCAAAAGGTCAGTCCAGGCTAGGCCTCAAAACTCGATCATACTGAAATACTGGTGACTAGTGATGGCCAAAAACCGGTCTTGGGCTGGACCTAATTGGTCTCAACCTTTCTCGTAACCGGTCCCGGTCAAGGTTCTTCATAACCGGTTATGGGCCGTCGGTCCCAGTCCCAATCCCGACATTAAAAATTAATGTATTTTAATGATATCTATTTTTAGTATACTATAAAATTTGTAATTGGGTCACTAAAATACAATTTAAAAATGCGTTTTAATATAGTTAAAATTACGTTGTCTTAAAAAAAATATATATTATAAGATTATTTAAAAAAATACATTTATTTATAAAAATGCTTGAATTTTCGGGCCGGGCCGGCCCAGTCCATAACCGGTCCCGGTCCCACTAAACTGCCAAAAACCCCAACCGATCCCGGTTTTCGGTCCCATAACCGGTCCTGTGCCGGGCCAGTCATTTGGCTGTCCCGGTTCCGGTCCTCCGACGGTCCTAGGCCAGGCCGGGCCAATTTGGCCATCACTACTGGTGATTATCATAGGTTGTGCCTTACATGGCCCAACTAAGCCCAATTAGACCCTTTTTAACTCTAAACTCCAAAGCCTGTCCCAGTTCGACCTAGCCTAAAAAACTCAAACGTCTTTTATTGTTTACCGACAACAGACTTGGAAGGCCATGATACATATTCAAAAAAACCCATATCTTATGCATCCCTAACCATATCGTCCTATTAGCCAATTCTTGTTGCAATTTTACGTAAGAAATCTAAATCTCTAGATATAATATTTTGCAACCGAGAAACTTGTTAAATGTTAGAACAACTAACACGGGTTAGGTTCACGTGAGACCAACTTATTTTCGTGATACCACTTTTTTACACCTGAAACTTCACAACAAAACGTTGTGAAAGTAAAAAAAACCGAACTTTTATAACGTTTTATTGTAAAACTTCAAACACAGGTCTCACAAAAACAAGTCGGTCTCACGTTATCCCAACTCTAATGAGCACCAAATACCAACTATTTAAAACCATAACAACTATAATTGAAGAGGGTTGACGAGGTCAACGGCCTTGTCATCAAAAATTCAAAACTCATCTTACCAGCATCTCCATAAAACCCAATACTGGTTCCGTTTTGCAACTCTTTTTCCCAATAACAGATTCTCCATCCTCCCAATGGCCACCGGCCACCACCAATGCCACTGCCACCTGCCACCACCCGCCACCACCACCCACCAAACCATGTGTTGTTATTACTCTTTACAACCACCACCACCACCACCTCCATCAGAGCCACCATTCCATTCCATCTCTTCTCATCTCCACCACCAACACCACTACCCTCCTCCACAAACCCACCTCCACGCGCCACCGCAAAACCACCACAACCTCCATAGCAACCACCACGACTATTATCCTCCTCCTACTATTACTACTACTCAAAACCATCAACTTTTTCAAAAGTACCGCCAACAGGAAGAAGCTCAAGAAACCCCACCACCGGTTAATCCGACCGTCTCCTCCCTCATCCACCGCATCGCTGCCCTGGAGTCCTCCCTCCGCCGCCGCAAAGGCTCCCCACGGTCATCCTCTCTCCGTGACGCCGCCGCCCGTACAATACAAACACATTTCAGAGCGTTTCTCGTACGGAGATCCATAACCCTACGAAACCTAAAAGATCTCGCCCATATCAAATCATCTCTCAACAGTCTGAAATCCTCCATTTCCGGTAGTAAAATCCACTTTGATTCTCATCTCCTTTCTCGCGAATCCATTAATTTGCTCATCAAGCTCGATTCGATTCAGGTAATATTAAGTTTTCGCTCAACTAAATGTTGTTGTTATTGATTTAGGAAGTGATTCGATCCAATTTGTGAAGATCTAATTAGGTTTTATAATTTGCAGGGAAGTGATCCGATGATTAGAGATGGTAAACGATTAATTAGCCGAGAATTGATTCGATTCATGGAGCTCATCGATGAAATGTCTACAGAAAACCATGTGATTTCAGTTAAGAATGTTAGATTCTGTAAAAATGGTAAGAAATCTGTGATTTTACAGCGAGAGCAGAAAATTAGGGCTTCTGGTTCTAGGGTTTTGGGTGATGATGACGATGAAAGAAAATTCCCCCAAAATCTGAACAATCAAAGTAAAAGAAAAATTAGGGTTTCATTGGTTCCCAAAGGAGAAGAAGAAGAACTAGAAAGTTTGGAGCTTGAAAACCCTAGAAAACCTCAAAATAGAATTGGGGGTTTGATGAAGAATCAACCAAAGGTGAAGAAAACTGTAAGCTTTTCTGAAAATGGGAATGTTTATAGATTAATTAAAAGCAGCCATAGCCATGTTTCAAGTGATGACAGTGATAGCAGTAATGGTGGGGAAGAAGTCGTCGAAGAAATCGGTGTTTCTTCCAAAGAAACCGAAGTGGGAGATCAAGATTCTTCGGAAATGAGCGAGAATGAGATGGACCCAAGAAAGAATTTGGGAACCCGAATGAATCATTCAACCAAAAATCGTCAATCCGATCAAGAACACAACAAAGAAGATGATGATGATGATGATGATGATGATGATTTCGTATTCTCTGCTCCATTGCCGGAAAAAATGGAGTATCGAGTGGATTCAAACAATAAGTTGATCGGAAAACAGTAGATTTGGAAGATCCACAGGTTGTTTTTAGAAGGTATTTAGTTCTGTTCTTATCTGTAAGATTTTGTTTTTCTGCCATTTTTATTTCTTGGTGTCATTGCCATTGTTGTTAGATCACTGCTCTTATTGCTTTGAAGTTTGTAGGATATCTCTGCTTAATTGGGTTGTGTTTATGACACCCCTTGTTGAGTTCTTATTTTGGATGTAGAATTGATTTATTGAAGATGGTTTTTGTGTGGATTTTGTTGCTGATGGAGAATTTTCTTGATCTTCAAACATGGTTTTAGGTGCCGTTTACCAAACGCTTACTCGGGTAAGCGTTTACCAAATAACATTACCTCATCGAATGAATATAATAAGGACCAAGAATCTTACCGGTAAGAGCGAGACAAAGATAAGAGTCTTACCCGGTAAGTGAAGGCGATGACTCTTACCACGGTAAGCGCTTACCGGGTAAATTATTGTATACTATGTCGTTTTGGTGGGCTAAAATCTTACCCGGTAAGTACATAATGGTGTTAAATTTTACCGATAAGCACTTACCAGGTAAGTGTTAGATAAACGGTCCCTAATTTATCAACTAGTTTTTACTAAACATGATTGAACTGATTTGTTAGCTTATTAACTAACATATACTCTCTTCGTCTCAAAATAACTGTCTATATTTCTATTTCCGTTTGTACAAGAATAAGTGTCCACTCTAAAAAGTACTTGTCTACTTTCTCGTTCTGTTCTAATTAGAAAAATTCTCTTCATATTGAAGGGTAAATTTGTCTTTTTACTTATGTTAAAACGTGTAATAATTCACGGTTCTTGAAATCTGTCATTGTTGAAGACATTTTATTTTGGGATGAAGAGGGTAATCTTTTAGTTGACAATCGACTTATCAACCAATATCTAGTTTTTCAGCTAACAGATGCGCTTATCATCTAACAACGAGTTTATAAGTTAAGGGGCCGTTTACCAAACGCTTAACCGAGTAAGCACTTACCAAGTTACATTACTTTATTGGATAAATATGGTAAGGACCAAGAATCTTACCCGGTAAGAGGGACACAAGAACCGAGAGTCTTACCCGGTAAGTGAGAGCGACGACTCTTACCATGGTAAGCGCTTACCGGGTAAATTGTTGCATGCGACGTCGTTTTGATGGACAAAAATCTTACTCGATAAGTAAATAATAGTGTTAAATTTTACCGGTAAACACTTATCGGGTAAGTCTTTGGTAAACGGCCCCTTAGTTTGTCAAACATGGCTTAAACCCTAGTGGTTGAGTGAAGTGTACCGTAAACTTCGACCAAGCTACCAATAGAAAAGGGTTGCTTAGAAGGTCATAGGTTTCAATCATGAAAACTAAATTTATGGTTGTTTCCAAAATAACGATAACGACATAAAAGCTGGTACTGTTAGTTCATATATATCATATGACCTTTTTTAATAACGACTATGACATCATAACAAACAAATGTCGAGTGCGGATACGTCACACACGCGTCATGCGGATCAACCCTCAAAACGGGAATTCTATAACGAGATATCTATAATAGTTTACAAATAGTTCTACGTCTCTTGTGCATCTCGTGATTTAGATCATTTAGTAAAATGGACAAATCGAGCGGGTTAAGTAACGAGTTTGGGTCAAAATTGATGATATTTTTAGTGGTTAGACCACCGCCTTCCCAAAGCAGAAGTTGTGGGTTCGAGCCCTGTACGTCTTTTTCGTATTTCACGAGTTAGATCATTTAGTAAATGGGTTGGTCAGATGTTGCGTCAAAACTTATTCTTCATTCATCGCAAAATAAATGGAAAATATGTCGGGCGTTTTAAGTATCCAAAATACGTCTCGTTTAACGAATTTTTTTACGGCCGTTAGAGGAATGAATCAAATCCGGACATTTTAACAAACCACGATAACGGTCTTGTAATTTTAAAATTACGAATATAAAAAAGTGTTCGTCTTACCAAATTTGTAGTATACTCATGGTAATGTACTTTACAAAACACTATGTAATTTTAGAATGGTTCTACATTCGGTAAATTGCATAAAAAAATAACGTATTTTTAAAATATATCTTCAATAATTTATAGTTTAAAAAATGTTTATTTTAATATCTAATGTTATAATAATATCAATTTTTTTTTAAATTTTATAATATCTTCAAATTTATATTTTATTCAAAAATGAAAAACATTTTTTTTTCTTCTCAAAACCACATAAAATCGCATTATAACATCGATAGACCCAAAATATAGAACGAAATATTAAAATCAAGATGTATCTCGTTGCATTGTGCAAGTACCCTTATAGTATAATCAAATACATGATAAACATCTTATTTTAAATATAAAAAATTTAAAATATAATTAAGATAATAATTGAGTTTTAACAGAATAATTAATTAATACCTTTATAAAAAATTATATCATTAAACCGAAAATAAATTATTTCATTATTAAGCCTAAATTCATTTATGATATAAAAAAATTACACAAAAAAGAGAGAGGTTTTAAATAGTTAATTTGATACTAATATCGACATAATTTTTCAAATTTATATTTTATTTGTAAGAACATTATCATTTTATCAAAACCACATAAAACCGTATTACATTGACGGAAATAAATAATAAAACAAAACATTAAAATCAACATATATCTCGCTGTATTGCACGAATATCCTTCTAGTCGTTTCAAAATATATACGTTCTAATGGAAGGCAATCTGCATAGAATACAACGTATTTTGACTCAATTCTTAATTTATGTAATGTACTTGTAAAGTTATCATTTTGATATTGTTTTGGTGAAAATTCACTCCTTCGACCGACGAGCATTTTTCCTTGACGAGGATATTTCCCTTGACCCCGACAGGTGCCGTCAGGATTTGTATCACCGACGATCATGATACTCATGATCATGGTCATCTTCGATTACAAGATCTTCGGTCCTTGGTCGAGGATTATTTTTCTTCGATCCTTGATCGACAATCGAAGTTTCCTTCGACACACGATGTTAACGACTTGTATTTATTACATCGCCCGTTACATATGGTTTTTATTGTAAGAATAAAAATGTGTGCGATTATTAACTTATAAGATCGTAACATCAAAGATAAGATTCAAGGACAGTTCAATATCAACGTTCTCTTCATTCAAAGGCATTTTTAGTCGACCATTGGTACAGTCCCAAGAATCATCTATAAAAAGGTCAGAAGATCTCGAGAAACGCCCTCAAATCATAGAAACTATATGCACACATAGTTCACTAGCAAAGACAATCGATGTTCTTTATTATTTTCCACAGCCGACATGTAAATATTATTTACGTCGTTGTACCTGTACGAAAGAACGGCGTCCTTGAGTGACGTCCGAAATGCATCGACGATCTTTACAATTCTCCGCGGTTTTCCCCTCATTTAAGGGTTTGCTTAACCTTTATTTTTATTGTTTGTCGGTGTTAATTCCAAAGTTGGTCGATCTTCAATTGTTAAACGTTCCACGTTGAAACCTTAAGTTGTCTTTTGAACAACTTTTAGCATAAACAGTTTTATGGCAAAAATCATCCTTGGTGCAAATTTTGGGCAAACACAAACATTGAAACTATTAAAAGGTAAACAAATAATCTCTTAGAATCGTCACCCTTACTTACCGGGTAAGACTCTCGGTCTTTGCCTTCGTTCTTATAATGTAAGATTCTTAATTCTTGTGATATTCATCCAGTAAAGTAATGCAACTTGATAAATGTTTTCTCTAAGTATAACCCAAAATGGGACTAAATTTTAATGAAATTGCAAGTTTTCACATACTTAATTTGAAATTGATACAAAACCAATACCAACATGTATAAATTAAAAAAAAAATAATATTAAACATTTAATTGATATATGATATAAAATTTTACGTACCAATTATAACGGATTGATACACAATATCCGTACAAGTCTAAAAATAGTCGGACGTGTTGTTACCCAAAAAGGATAAGAAAATACAATCGTCAGAGTCTCCAAGTTTTGTCTTCTAATGGCTGTTTTGCGTACAAGATATATGTGTGGTGGCATTTCCGTTAATCTTTATAGAAGGAAGGCTGTTCTGAGTAATCACAAAGATGGAGTTGTGCTTGCAACACACTCAAGCCACATGTGACTGCACCTCATTGTAGTTTGGGCCCTGCACATGACTCTCGGGATTCTAATGCTCTACAACGCACGTAAAATGGCGATGAACTGAATCCAGAATTGGTTAATCGCTTTTCTCTGCCTCTAAAACCGCCATTGATGGAGATATAGAAGCTTTACTACTACTAGTAGCAAGGGTTTCACTGATTTCTGTAGTGTGTGAAAAAACTGAAAATGGCTTACTGTGCTTCAAGTCATGGTGGTGGAGGTGGAGGTGGAGGAGCACTGACATTATCGCATTGTTCTTCGATTTCAAGGGCGATCAATTTCAATTTCAATTTCAACAGCAAAACGTCGAACCAGCTGTTCTTCACGACCGCTGCTGATTTCAGGAAACGGCATTTTTATGTGAGGAGTGTTTCGCAGCCTAAGCTTAAGGATCAGGTCACCGTCGAACAAGGTCTGGTTCTCCGTTCTACATTTCCCCCAGTTATAGTGTGTGGTCTGTTTATTTGTATGTTTATGTTAGGAATTGGGGAGTGGAGATGATTACTGTACCGGATAATCTGGTTGGATTGTGAAAGTCCAGAGCTCTGAATTCTGATAATCCAGATCAGAGGTTCTGATCACAAACCAGAGGTACCCTTAGCCCAGAGACCAGAGGCTGTGATCACTAATGTCGATCAGAGGGCAGAAATTCTTTTATTGATTTGGTTTTTTTTGTGTGTGTATATTACAATACATTGGAAGCAACATTTATAGGACACAA